TATGGATAGAATTGGCAATGAAGTAGAATAATTCGTTTTATAAGTAGTTACCATGTGGTTTGTATTATTAGGATGATAAGCATACATTATAGATAAAAGTGTCATAAACGTCTCGAGTACAGTATGGATTTGTGCCTTATGGTGCAGTATGAACACATGAAGACCTCCAGCTTTCATCCGAGACTGGTATCCCAAAAGAAGTTCCACTCTGGGACTACACCATCTTTTTAAGATATCCCATTGTGTTATCCCAAAAGGACTATCTTAGAGTATCCAGTCAGGACAATTGCCACAGTCGCCTGAGATGACACTGGGACCAGAGGACACTTAGCGGGGTTCAGTACAACTTGCAAACAATAGTAAGTAGTTTTTTGACTTGAGTGTCCATGTTTTTTGTCAAAGTTTAGCATGGGTCAATGAGAGTTGTGAACTGCTTTGAGTTTATTTAGGTATGTGTAATGTAAATAGATAATGTGATTTACGTGGGTAACTATTGTAGTAGCATGCCTCAATAGTAAGAGTTATCAGTACAAAAAATAGTTAAAGGTCCTTTAAGTTGGTGTAACGTAAGCAAGGCGTGATTTTTAGTAGTCCTATGACGTGTTTCTGGAGAATAAACAAACTATTATAACTAGATGATCTAATATATTAAACTAGAACTACATTAATATAACAACAAAAACTAATATGTAAATTTATTAACTAATAAACTTTATGAAAATTACCACTAATACAAAACAATCATATGGAGTTTTGTAGTTTCACCGGTTAATATGAGGTTTTGAAAAAGTGTTTGATATTTTGTATAAGAAAAAAGAATCACAGTGCATAAGTCACGTGACTGTGATGTTACGAGAAGTATTTAAAATGAAGTAGAATTATTTGTTTTATGAAAACCATGGCTTGTTTTTTGCTTAATAATACTCATAGTTACTTGTGCCTTAAGCTATCAGATGATGTATGTAGCAGAGTTAGAGTAGAGTTATTTGTTTTTTAAGTAGACGTCTGATGATGTATGTAACAGAACTTGATTAGAAATTTTCGTTTTTTAAGTAGTTATCAGATGATGCATGTAACAGAGCTGGAGTAGAATTATTCGTTTTTTAAGTATTTGTCAGATGGTGTATGAAAAAGAGCTGAAGCAGAATTAATTGTTTTTTAAGTACTTGTCAGATGTCACAGAGCTGGTGTTGAGTTGTTCGTTTTTTAAATAGTTATCAGATGGTGTATGAAATAGAGCTAGAGTAGAATTATTCGTTTTTTAAGTAGATATCAGATGGAAATGATATTGTTATAATAACCCTGACAGGAGTGTTATAGTAAATTGTACATGAATTAAGTCAAGATTTTAGAGCATGTATGGTGATAGTAGAAGTCAGTATTTGTAGTGGATATGGTTGACTGGAGTTGTATATTAAATGTTATGTATGACTCTAGTAGTATTATATTAAAGCATATATACAAATACATATACAATTGAAAACACACTGAAGAAAATACAAATATATATATACAAATACATTATAACACATATATAAGTACATATACAAACACTGATAAACAAGATTATATGTGTATTAATGCAAACACATATGAGTATGCAGGCCTTGTTTTAAATAAAAAAGTGCTTAATGCATTAGCTTAACGCAATTTTGACGTCATAAAATTATCTTTATTTTTTTTATAGACGATAAGTGTTTTAACTACCACAATAAACAATTAACCGCAAATAATTTAACAATTAACTCAAATGACAATAAACGTTTTAAATGTAAATGTAAATGTATTTATTATGAAAAATTTGAAATGTTTTTAATTGTGATTTTTATTATTAATTTTAGTTCAATATTATTTAGTAAAAAAAAAAAGTATATATATATATATATATATATATATATATATATATATATATATATATATATATATATATATATATTATATATATATATATATATATATATATATATATATATATATATATATAAATATGTATATATATATATATATATATATATATATATATATATATATATATATATATATATATATATATATATATATATGTATATATGTATATATATATATATATATATATATATATATATATATATATATATATATATATATACATATATATATATATATATATATATATATATATATATACATATATATATATATATATATATATATATATATATATATATATATATATATATATATATATATATATATATATATATATATATATATATATATATATATATATATATATATATATATATATATATATATATGTATATATATATATATGTATATATATATATATATATATATATATATATATATATATATATATATATATATATATATATGTATATATATATATATATATATATATATATATATATATATATATATATATATTAATTATTTCTGAAATTTGTTTTTAAATAATTATTGTTTATAAATCGTTATTGAATAAAAAAAAAAATAATTTATTTTATATTTAAAAATTTCTGGAGTAAACAAAAAATATTAACATTGATAAACAAAAACCCATGTTAATTAATTAAACAGCGATTTTGTTTTGACTAGCAAAGAATAATTTAGGTTTTTAAATATTTTTTAAATTTATCTTGCTTGGCGTTTCAACTTGCGTTACATAAAATTATAAGTTTTTAAGCATATCTTTGATACATAGTTTAGAACGTGTTCGCCA